ACACAGAGGGGTCCCAACCCTACACATACCCAGAGGGCTCCTCCAGCAGTGGCAGCCCAGCTCTTCGCCAGGGATCCCTGAAGTCCCAGCTGAAGGACTTGGGGAGTATCTTGGCTACCTCTGGCAGAAGAGCAGCCGTGAGGGGCACGTGGATGATTAAAGACACCCCAGGACAGGCAGCGGGGACGGCGGCACACGGGGTCGGCCACGGGCGAGGGCATCATGCGTCCCACGTTACCTTTGGCCGTCCCGCAGGTCGGGTGCTCCCCCAGGCAGCCGCGGCGCTGCTTGAGGTCAGGACAGGGCTCCCCTCCGTGCCGGGGCGGGACGGTGACCTGGCGGCTGCGGGCCCTGCTGCCGACCCCACACGGGGAGCTGCACCCACTCCACGGCCCCCAGGGCCCCACCGAGCAGCTCACGGCTGCCGGGGGAGCAGGAGGGATGGAGGAGAGGGAAAAGAGAGAGCTTCAGCGTCATGAGCAGGGGAAAGAGGAGCGCAGGGGAGATGCAGCACAGGGGAGGGGGAGAGGGGAGGAAGGCCAAGGGCCAGGGTGACCCCAGCAGCCCCTCTCCCCTGACCCCTGCCAGCACAGGGACATTGTGCGTCGCTTCCGCAGGATTTTATCCCTGTGCTGCATCGCGCTGAGCTGGGACCCCGCTAATCTCCCCGGAGATTAGGAAGGGCTGACTGTTGCAATTGTCCAGGGGGCCACAGCCGGTGCCCGCCTGCGCGGGTTTGGGTCCCCAGGGCGGGCTGGCTTCACACCCTCAAGCCCACGATCCGTTTGGCACCCCCAACACAGCTCCTGGTTCCCTTGTCGCTGTGCAAGGCACTGCCCGTGACAGTGGCAGCGGTGTTGCCAGGGTTTGTCCTGCTGGGTCCCACACTGACCACTCTGAGGCTTGCAATGACAGCGTCACTGTCAACTGCAGACCAGAGGCCACCCCTGAGTGCTCTGTCATTGCACTGGGACCAGCCGGACATCCAGTGTGGAAGAAAGGGGAAAATTCGGATATTGTTACAAATCCAGCCCAGCCGGCGCCCCAGATGCATCCTGTTACCGCTCAAAGCAGGGGCCAACAGGTACCGACAAACACCCACCACCCAGAGCAGCAGCCCAGGCGGGTGTCCCCAGCCCCGGGTCCGGCCAGTGCCACGCCCCACGCCCTGTGCCACGCCCTGTGCCACTCACCGGCGCGGCGGCACGTGGCGTGGTAGTCCTGGCAGCAATCTCCCGTCCTCTGGCAGTACGAGTCGCAGTAGCAGCGAGCCCGGCGGGCGGCGGGGGCCCAGCACGCGTTGTTCCTGCCCGGGCAGCAGCGGTGCCGGCAGCTGCCCGTGGCACCCACCAGGCAGCTGGTGGCCAACAGCCAGCCCCCCCAGAGCAGCAGGCCCCGCATGGCACCGGGAGCCTGCGAGCGCCGAGCGACGGCTCTGCACCCCCTGGATGCTGGATGAGGAGCGAGGGCTGCGCTGGTGGCGGCGTTGGGATCTCCGGCCGTGCCGCACCGCCCCCGGGCTGGGCGGGGGGACAAAGCCCGTTCCCTTCTGCTCCACCGCCCCTCGCCATCCCGGCAGGGCAAGGACTTCACACAAGTAGCCAGGATTACCAATAAAGCACAGTGCACGGGACAACACAACCCTGGAGCTGCCTGGGAGCACCTGTGACTGGCGCACTGCTGGCTTGGAGCTCACACTCCCCTGGGAGCACCACCTTGGCACGATGGGGAGCACCGTCCCCCACCTGCAGGGCAGGAGCTGCTCGCTGCTCACTCAGCACCGCCCAGACACCAACGCAGCTGCTAAAGCCAGACTGATTTTATTCAAATTGCGAATGTAAAACAGAATAATAATAAAAAAAAACAACAATGCAACCCTCACTGGCTTCAGAGCCGAAAGCCGCAGGTAAACCGTGCCCGGGCTTTCCTCCTTCACCCTCCTGTGTTAAGGCTGAGCTCATCGCTGGCGACAAGAGGGAGCAGGGATGGGTGGAGCCCTGGCTCCTGCATCCCCCCTCCCTCGGGAGAAGTTTGGCACAAATCGTGTGGGGCCAACCTGGTGTGGGCAGAGCAGGGCTCCGGCCCCACGGCCACAGGTGTTAGTGGGTCAGCGTGAAGCTCCAAAAGCTACAGGATTTACCTACGGGGCCACGGCGAGGCGGCGGGAGGGCAGATGGGGGGAATGTGGCAGAAGACAGGGGTTTGCACCCCAGGCCGAGAGGCCGAGTCTGTGAGGCGGGGCTGCCCCTCCTCGCCCCGGCTCGAACAGCATCTCGACTGTAAACGGCAAGTGATGGGGGCACCCAGCTCACCCCAACCCCGGCCCACCACGAGCACAACTAAAGGCCTGGCTGTATGTGCAAATTTGGGCAGCCCCTGCTCAGCGAGCCCAGGGCTGAGCAGGACCCTAGGGATGGGATGCTGCACACCGGTGGTCCTGGTGCTGGCAGGGAGGGAGAAGGAAGCCTGGGGCCACACCAGCAGGTCACTGCCCTCCCGGCCCGGGAGGTGCAGGGCTGTTGGGCTCCCCCCAAGCTGCTGTGACCGAGTGCATCGCTCCCAGCTGGCGGTGTGAGCCCCAGCATCAGCTTGCGATGCCCCATCCACAGCTTGGCATTGCACCATGGCTCTGGGCAGCTCCCAGCACCCCCAAAAAGAGCTGCTCCCCAGGCAGTCAGCAGCTCCTGGCTGTCAGGAGCCCTGGGGCCACTGTCCCAGGGGGACACCTCACCCTGGATAACCAGCACTCATGCCTGATGTGGCACCAGGGGGAAGTGCCAGCAGGGGATTGGGGTGGGTCTAACGGGGATGCTTGGGGTCTGGATGGTGGGATGCTGCTCCCTCCCTGCTCCTTTTAGCACATAACTAGTAATTTAACCTGCTCCAGAGCCTGTTCCTAAAGATAAAGGTGGCCAGGTTTGGGGGGAGGGTGTGGGGGGCAGAGCTGGTCCTGGCAGCACCTGCAGGCGGGTGTGGGCTTGGTCTCTGCTCTCCAGCTGCAGCCCTGCGGGGCCCGGGAGGTGGGGCCCCCTGGCCTGGCCCCTCAGTCCGTTTTCCACACCTTGTTGAGGAATTTGACCACCTCATCGTAGATGATGAAGACGATGGCAACGTCGAGACAGACGCGGCCCAAGCGAGGCACCGTGCCCTTGTAAAACCTGCCGGGGATAAAGGGGGCCGTGGGGCTGATTGCCCTCGCAGCCCCCTCCCTGCCCATCCTGCCCCCCAGCCACCCCCACCGCAGAGCTTACGCCAGGGGCCCTTCGTGTTTCATGATCTGGTAGGCACAGTCCCAGGTGTTCTTGTACTTGTGCGCCTCCAGCCCCTGTGGGAAGGGGAAAGCAGGATCAGAGGCCAGAGCCAGGGGTGTCTCTGGGGGATTTTGTGGGGGAGGCAGATAGCTGGGGGTGTGCCATGAGGAACTGATCCCTCTTTGATGCTGCGAATCAAACCCGGGAGGGACATCCCCATCTCTGTGCAAACACTTCCCAGCACCAACCCCACGAATCTCCCAAGCCAAATCCCACCACCATCCAGTGCCTGCCCCAGGGACTGTGTGAAACAGCTCCCAGGCAGCGGGTGGCCCCAGCCTGCTGCAGGCAGAGTGGTCTCACACCGTGTCCTGGCACTGTACCTGCATCCTGGTCTTCACCACGTCCAAGGGGGTGTTGCCAAAGACACTCGCAGCTCCAGCAATGGCTCCAAACACCCCTGTGATGAAGGGGTTGATAACCTTGTTGGGATTGTCCCCTGGAAAGAAAGACAGTTTGAGGACAGAATAGTGGTGGGATGAAGCACTCATTCCTGAGGGAGCCCACAGGGAAGATCCCAGGTCTGGTTGCTTGTGGTCATGGTGCTGAGCTGGGGGCTGGGGCGTTTGAAGGAGACTGTCCAGCAGCAGCAGCCCCACAGAGCTCATACAGTGCCCAGGGACTCAGGGTGGGTGTGAAAGTGATGCTCCAGCACCAGGACCCTTCAGAGCCCCATGAGCTGGGGCCACCCCACCTTGGTTTTCATCTTCCTGCATCCTGGGTGGCTGAGCCATGAGAAGTAGGGGGTGTGCTGACAGAAAGTCCATCCCAGCTCCCAAGGGTGGGCTGGAGGAGCCAGAGGCACAGCCAGGCAGGCCTGGGGGGATGAGGGCACCATACCTTTGTACCAGTTCTTGAGGGAGGTCATGACGAAGAAGCGGATGGCTTGGTTTGATCCTTGCTTGAGGACGGTCGCAGTTAAGCCCTGGTAGGTCCCCTTCAGTCCTGCAAGAAGAGGGTGTTGGAGGAGAGACCAGCCTCAGCTGGCAGAGAAAAACCTTCTCAGGCCACACATCCCAGCCTGTGCCCATCTGCCACCTCCCACCCCATCCCCACAGCACGGGAGTGCCCAGGGGGTCAGGGTGCCGCTTCCCCGGGACTCACCCTGTTCCCGAACGATCTCCCGGACGCCATGGAAGAAACCACGGTATTTGGGGTTGGGAGAGGTCTGGTCATGGATAAACTTCACCTACGAGGAGATGATGTGCTCGTCCCGGCTGAGGTAAGGGCAGGCGTGATGGCCCCAAAAGGGCTGTTGGCCACCTCTTGCCTTGTGCCAGGGACAGTCCCAAGACCAGAGCCAACCCACGCAGCCAGGCAAGACTGGAGAGACCACAGGGGAAGCCTGTGCCCCTGGCCAGCAGCGCATTTTCCAGAGCAAAACCTGGGAAACTGCTGCTGCAAGCGGCCACGTGGGGTTTACAGTCCAAAAATGAGTGACAAGATGAGCTTGTGGGGCTCCTCCCCAGAGTGGGAGAAGGGCCAGGACCACCTGACCTGACCCCGAGGGCTTTCCACCATCAGATCCTCCCCTACAAAACTGGCCTGAGCAAACTCATGTGGCCTTCAGGTCCCCAAAAGTCAGGCACCCCTGGCTCTTGCACCCTCCCCACCAAGCCCGGTGAGGAGTGCCAAGGCAGGGGACACTGGCAGCTGCCTCCCACCCACCTTTATGGTCTCCATGGGGCAGACCACTGCCACAGCCTCGGCCACGCCAGCCCCCAGCCCGCAGATGAGGCCCCGCGTGCTGTCCAGCCGCCCCTGCTCGTCTCTCATCTGGTTGCTGAGGAACTCGAACATCCCGAACCTGCAAAGGAGCCACCATGCCAACCCCTGGGCACCCAGACAGGGGGCTGCACCCCCTGCTCTGGGTCTGCCTCCAGGAGCAGCCACGCACCCTGTGAGAGGACCCTCCCGTCTGGGAAAGCACCTGGCCTTGGTGAAGCACCAGTGGAGACACTGAGGGCAAAACCACCCCGTCTGCTGCTGTCGGGAGCCCCCCCCACTCACCCCAGGCCCTGGGGACACACCTACCTGACGGCAGCCTTGGGGATGGAGCCGTACAGCAGCGAGCTGAGCCCCCGGTACAGCCCCCGGATGCCATGGTCACGGACAGTCTGCTTCACACAGTCCCCTGTGGCAGAGCACAGCAGTGCCACTGTCACCTGCCACGCCGAGGACCACCCACCACCGCCCCAGCTCCAGCCAGGCTTCCCGGGAGCCCCCCAAACCCAGCGAGGGGCTGGGGCCAGCGCTGGGCAGGTGCTCACCGATGCCCTTGTAGCGAGGAGGGTTTGCCTTCTCGTCCAGCTGCAGCTGCGTCTTCACATATTCGGTGGGGAATGTGATGCAGATCTCGATCCCTCCGGCCAGGCCACCTGCACGGGAGAGGAGGGGGCATTGGGGCAGGAGCAGCACCAGGCCAGGTCAGTGGCTGCTGCCGCTTCAGGATGGCTGAGCCAAGGGCTGCCGGCAGCCAGGTCTGGGCTGGGACACCCCGTGCCTGTCCTCACCAAAACCCTGAGCACTCCACACAGCAGCGGGGCCCTGTGCCAACCTGGTGCCCTGCACGGGCATCACTGCCCAGCCATGGCAAGAGACATTGAGGAGACTGGCCAAAGTGGCTGGTAAACCAGGCAAAACACCACACCCACAGCCACCTATTTGGCGTGTTATTCCCCAAAGGCACCTCTCCCTCTCCGGAGCCCCACACCCCCAGGTGAGCTGCCAGCACTGGGATTTATAAACCCAGCGGTGCTGCAGCAGGCCCAGCACCACTCCCCACACCGGTGGGAGCCCATCTGCAGACCAGCCACGCCAGCAGGAAGCACAATCATCATCAAGCCTGTCCGGCTGCCCCGGGCTCCCACAGCGGCTGCTGGGGGCTGATTACAGCGGCTGCAGCCTCTCCTGGCAGCCCAGGCAGCAAGGGGTGCTGGCTCTCAGCCACGGGGCTCCCCACAGCGTGGTTGCAGCCCTTGCAGCTGGGCTGGGGGAGCTGGGCTCAGCCCATCCGGCCACGACAGATCACAGGGCATTTCCTCGCATCAAAGCACGGGCAGGTCCCGCCGAGCAGCGGGAGCCCTTTGTGCCGCAACCAGGAGGAAGCGCGAGGCCAAGCCGGCTCCCTCAGGATCACAGGGCAAACCCCGCTCAGGGCAGAGGGCACTGCCACTGGGGTCAGCACCCACCAGAGCACTCCCTGCTCCTTGCCCAGGGAAGGTGAACCATGCCCTGGCCCTCAGGATGGGGCACGGCGTGGGGTCAGGGGGGCTGTCAGCTCCCAGTCTCCCACACAGCCTCCAATGGCCCCTCCAGCCTGGCCACGTCCTCGGCGTGACTCAGCAGCACTGCAGCTCCCACCACAGCC